TGAAACAAAATTCTACCATCTTTTAAATAATATAAAATGCGACTACATGAAATAACTATGCAAAATCCTAAGGTCAAGAGTTCGAGCCTCTCTCACCCCAATTATGTTTTCCTCATAGAATTCCTTTACGCACTAAACCCTGTTCAATGAATGTCCGATTTTTGTACCTCATCGTACCGCTTCCTAATTTCATTGTTATATGGGTTAACCTGCTTATATAAGACAATCTCCTCACATTAGGAGGCTCCACACTTATTGCGGGGGCCTCTCATGTGACGAAACTGTCATGCATGCATGGTTCTTGTAATAAATACTAACTTTTCGCCAGTCAAAACCTAATTTCACTTTCACACTCGTATGTGAAGTCGATTCAATTCTATTTCATTTACTATATGAAATGCTCATACTAGAATGTTCGTTGACGAATTGCTTGATTTATGAACAGTGTAATAAAGGAAATTCTGAAGCTTTGTTCTACCAGATCGTTGGTACATTTGTACATAGCTCAAGCTTCGATCCAGTTGTTGATTTTCTTCAGAAGGTTGCTACAGTTAGGAGTAAATTTTTTATAAGTAATTTGGAAATGAGATGGTGAAGATTTATAAGGAAAGCACAGAATTTTGAGCATTCATCTCTCTGATAATTTTTCATTTGATTCAAAGGTAATTTTGTTTTACTCAAAAGATTTATAAACTATTATCGAAACTCTTTTTGTAGAATGGGAAGAATTAGGACGATGCAGAAAAGTTAACAGAAAAGTATTGGGATTAATCGTGTACTATTAATGAAAGGTTAATGATGAGACTAATTTACACATTTTTAAAGTCAAAGGTTCAATTTTGTAACTCAGAAATAAATTAGGGACTAATGATGCAATAAAATTCGTAACTGACAAAAACCCAGCATTGTGGCGTTTCCGTTATTTCCCATGTCTGTCCCACAGAAAAAATTCCTTCCTTTCCCATCTCTCTCTCGTTTCAAATTTATCGTCACAGATTCCTCTACAACGTCTAATTTATCTCTCTAAATTCTGCAACAATACGTAGAGCGCTCGAGTTCTCTGAAAGAGGGAAAATCTAAATTGAATGGGACAGCATTCGTTGATTTACAGCTTTGTGGCGCGTGGGACGGTGATCATGGCGGAGTACACGGAGTTCACGGGGAATTTCACTAACATAGCTTTCCAGTGCCTTCAGAAACTTCCGGCTACTAACAACAAGTTTACTTATGACTGTGATGGCCATACCTTCAACTACCTTGTAGAGGATGGCTTCAGTAAGCCCCTTGTGAATTGTGATATATAATATTATTGCACCATCGATTTGTTTGATGCAAATTTTATAATTTATAACTTCACTTAATTATAGTGATTTGGTTTGATTATCGGTTTTGTGTGATTCTTATGTTTTTCAAATTTTATCATTAGAAGACTTGATATAATTTGAATTTACTTGTAAAAACTTTGGATCAGTTTTGAAATATCATGTTATTTTTTATCAATTAACTTCAGTAAAGGTGTTAACTGTAAGCCTGCAGTCATAGTATGCTGCTTTAGAGTAAAGTTAGAATTGGCAATGTAATTTTGAATTCCTGACTTTGTCATTCCGGATTGCTTATGACTTATGAGTCCTTTGATCTTATTTTTGTTGGTTATTTGAATCACTCTGATGTCCCTTCTCTTTTTCAAAATCGATAGTGATCTTTTAATTAGAAATATATTTTCCAGCTGTTCTTTGTTGAAATCTTTGTACGTGTTTGATGTGATTTGCTTTCTGCTAATGAGCATTATCTTTCTGTCATGTTTTGTGATGGTCTATGGCATTTGATAAGCCCTGGAGTGAGGTTATTTGTTGAGTTTTTACTTTAGCTTTAAGTAATTATGTACGTGCAAAAAGATGAGATCTAATGTTAATTTTGTAACGACTAGCATCTAATTATAAATCTAGTTTCAAATGTGGCAGATTTATTTCCTTACTTCAGATTCAAGCCTCTAGTTTTGCCTTTAGATGTTTCTATAAGACAATCTTGAGAATTAATTTATTTGGAAGGACAACTGCCAGAATTGATATAATGCGGAATAAGAAATGTAGTTGACCAAATATTTTCAGGTTTAAATGAACTATTGTTTGCTTTACAAATACTTGAATGTGCAGCTTTCGAACAAAATTATATGCCTGAAATTTGTCTCAAATCATTTAGGTCCTTTCTTATCTTCAGTTTTTTCCTTTTCGATTTACTCAGCCGGACTAACTTTCTATGCATTCATTACAGCATATTGTGTTGTTGCTGTTCAATCTGTTGGCAGACAGATTCCTATGGCATTTCTTGAGCGAATTAAGGAGGATTTCACCAAGAAGTATGGTGGGGGAAAGGCTTCTACAGCTGTTGCTAACAGCCTGAATAGAGAATTTGGGTATAGTCCTCTTTTACTCGCCGTAAATTTATTCCGTATTTGATTATGAATTATTTTTCATTTCACAAATCATTACCTAATGGCATAATGTCAAAAACTTAGACCCAATTTGAAGGAGCAAATGCAATACTGTGTGGATCATCCTGAGGAGATCAGCAAGCTTGCAAAGGTGAAAGCTCAGGTTTCAGAAGTCAAAGGTGTGATGATGGAAAATATTGAGAAAGTAAAACCATACTTCACCTTCCTATAAATTATTTATCCTGTGCAATATACAATTTCCAGTAATATGATATTTGAGGTTCTAAATGGTGCGTGATTCTTGATTAAGACTTATCTTTATGCAGGTTCTTGACCGTGGGGAGAAAATCGAGCTGCTGGTAGATAAAACTGATAACCTTAGCTCTCAGGTGTGCAAACTCCCGTGCTTGTTTTCTTCCCGTGGAGAGCATAGACATTCTTTGTTACACAAATTGTTTGGTGTTGATTCTAAAATGTGTACTCTCATATACCATGAAATGCAATTTATGCTAGCTATGATAATGTTTGAACTGCAGGATAAAATTAATCTTATGC